TTTCTTAGGGCCAAATTCATGTGTTTGGGGTTCTTGTCAATTTTAGGGTTAATAGGTGTTGGGAGAGCTTTCGGTGAGACTAAGGCTTGATCTTTGTGAATCACTTCTTTTCCCCTTTGGATTTTTGGTGAAAGGTGGTAAGAGCTCTTCATTGGCCTAAGTCTAGCCTCCTGTCTGATGTGTTTTCCCTAGCACAATGAGAATCTTAAGGATATCTAATGGATCCCTAGGGGAATTCCTAGGGTTTTGAGTTATATAGGTAGCCTAGGGTATCTTCCACCTATAAGGAGTCAACTTGGGCTTCCACCAGGCTAGACTCTTGAGCATCTCAACCAAGGTTTGAGGATTTAAACTTCACCTCAGGAAACCCCAAATGAGTGTAGGACTGGCTAGAAGTCCTATATGGGTGAGTCTCATCTCTAGTCATCTAGGAAGGTCACTAGGGAAACCTAAGGCTAAGGGTCTGTTTGGGGCAGCTGTTGATTATTTATAATCCGCTGATAAGCAGATTATTCTGATAATCTAATAATCTGCAGATTATCAAAATAAGTTGGCTTGCTGTTTGAGGCAGCTTATTCAGAACAACTTACTTGGAACTGTTGTTCAATAAATGATCATTTTGCCCCTGTTTGTTAAAAAGTAACATTCATATGATAAAAGAACATTCATCAATAATTCCAAAGAAAATAAAAAATATGCTTAAATTGTGATGTAAAAAGCAACATTCATTTGCTCCAATTGTGAATCTCATCCTCCCAACAAATCAAATTGTGATGTAAAAAGTAACATATGATAAAAGAAAGGCAATAGAATCAATTTGCTGTGCGGATATGTGTTTGTGTCTCAAGGAAAGAATCTCATCCTCCCAACAAATCAAATTGTGATGTAAAAAGTAACATATGATAAAAGAAAGGCAATAGAATCAATTTGCTTTTCTGATATGTTTTTTTCTCAAGCAAATACATAACTGTAGAATTAAAGATTATAAAACTGTAGAATTGAGAAGGAAGAAACAACAATTACAGTAAAGAGAAAAGAAAAAAGAGGAGAAGAATAGGAGCGGCTCACCTACTACGATCATTTCCTTCCATTTTCGCGATCGAATTGCAGGGAAGATAGCTCGAGCGACTATGCAGAGTGCCGCGAGCATCAAAATAAAGGAGGGAGTAGAAGGAGAAACTCGATTGAGTACCTGGAAGACTCGAACGACTCACCCGAGCGATAGAGTAAAGGAGAACTCCAATCGCAGCTTCGAAACCCTATCGTGCGGCGGCTTGCAGAGTAAGGGAGAGGCGGACTCTCCATGTGTCATGCATCTCGCAAAGGAAGGAGAAGGTGGAAGAGGGCTCGAGCAACCTATAGAAGCTCGAGCTCTGGGATCGCGGCTCTGGGAAGGGAAGGACTGGATCGCGGCTACCTGGGAAGGCAACGACGGGATCGCGGCTTACATAGACCACCGAAACTCCCATCTTCATCCTTGTGCTCCACTCCTATCAAAAATCAAGCGAGAGAGAAGGCGAGGGCAATCAAGGGTACCTCCGGAAATCCTAGGGCAAGGGGGCTCGTGAACGCGGGACGCGAGGTTTTGCCCGCGTCGAATCGGATGAAGGATTTATCCAACGCCAACGCGGTACGGCAGAAATAAGTTCTGCGAAAGCATTTATCAAACAGGGAGGCGGCGTCAAAACGCCGCCGCTCCCAATAAGCTGTCCCAAACGGGCCCTAAGTTCTAGGTTCCTATAGAGGGGAAAAAGGGTCCTCACAAAAGTGAGGTCAACACTAATTAGCGATTATCATATGGCCACAAAGCTACACCTTTGCAAAGTTTCATGATCAACATGCTTAACCTTATATCAAGTATATTACTGACCACAAATTTTATGCTTAATTATATGAGTATATTAATAATATAAATTTTTAAAATTTTGTAATCTTAATAATTTTTTTAACATGTTAAGTACAAAATAAAATTGTATATTGATCATGAAAATGAAAGTTTAAGATAAATTAAACTTAATAATTTATGTTGCGTCATTATAGCAAATGAAGAAGCAAGATTGATCATGATTGTTCAAAGAATTGGTTTAAGTACTAAAATATAATATGTTTTTCATTCAAAGATATAACCATCATGATATTATTGACCACATGTTTTAAATGAAATAGGTGTTTTGGGTCTATTTGATGCTTATGTTTTCTTAGCCAAAGGGCTGATCATTTTCTTATTATGGATTCATGCATTTGTCTAAGAGTTGCTCTAGCTATTTTTGGTGAGCATAAATTGCCCAAACGATCATAATATGAGAGCCATAGTGAAAAATAAGATATGTTTTGTAGCATATTATGTCACAAATTAGTGTCAAATAGAATGGACCAAGAAAATGGCCACCGAGAAAGACCCCCAAGAACAAATGGAGATTCACCCCTAAGATTTAGCGGGCTTTTAAGAAGAATCATTGGCAATATTTCTTAATGGATTCTCCATCATTCTGGAAAATCTTGAAGACGAGGTACGAATCTTTGTTGAGTTTTTGGTCTATAATGAACTTTCTAGCGAACAACCTAGCCAGTTTGGTAAAATTAAAAGCGGGCCCATATGGAAAGTGCGGAATCAGGAATGGGCCTATGAACCTAAACCCTTTAGAATGATCAATAATAATTCTATAATGATCCGCAAGCTCATACAAATCAAATAACCCATCATAATAGTCTAAGGCTAGCAAGTTGAACATCTTCAAAATGGGGCATCCTGTAATAGCATTGGGGAAAGGAGAGGACTCCATAATGTTTTAAGAGGGGTTGGCTAGAGTCTGACAGCTATTGGGGAATCTTTATGGACTACATGTTGGAGTTCTTTATGAAGGGTAACACAAGGGATGACACTGGAAAGAAGCAAGACTAAATTTGTCATGAAAACCAATTAGTTACAAGACTGAGTGGCCTCATGGAGTTTTTCAATAATTGGAAGGGATTAAATTCCATCGTGGACATTAGCAGGCATTATACGAGTGCCCTCAATTTGACAAACCTGAAATGGATTTTGAAGGAGACACACCTTAACCAAATCGTGTTGCAATGCCATTGGTTGGTTATCTAATGCAATATAGCTAAAAGATCATATCATGATATTCCTCCATCCTATGAATTCATTTTTCCAAGTAAAACCCAAAAGGACATCCACCAAGGGGGTATGCCTAGAAATGAAGAGCAGAATAGAGGTCTAGCATCTCTAATGAAGAATTGATTCCTAATGAAATGAGAGTAAGAATAGAAAGCTCCTTTGTTATTAGTTTCATGCCAGTTGATCATTGGTCGGGCATTTGTAGAGCTCATGAAAGTGAATTTAATTCACATTTGGCATCAAATAATTGTGTGCTAAAATGTCCACGAAGGTAGAGATTGAGGTTATAATTTTAGAGTTACACGGACATTAAGCACACCAATAAATGAGTAACTCCAAAAAAAAATAAGATGTTTTAAATAATAAAAATGAAAGGGGAAATTATAGGGTCTTACCCGTTTGAAACAACTTTCTAAGGTAGGTTAAAGTTACAATGGTTTGTCATTCACTAACACCAAAGAAGGGTGAATTATGGTGTACACAACTTTTTGCATCAATCGGTGCTTGATCAATGATAGGCATCGATGTAGTTCAGAGGTGGATAAAACAAATGGTAACATTACAACTGTTGGAAACAATAATTATTATTGACTGAAAGTTGAAGGTGGCATTGGTAGCATCAATGGAAGTTGTAACAAAAAATGTGTACTCACAAGCAAGATTCTTGATTCTCTCCATAATCCTCCTTCAATTTATAGAAACAATTTTTATTTATATATTTCTAAAGACAGTGCCCTGATTAATTAGAGCATAAATCAAAATAGAGAGCAAATTTATTGAAAATGAAGTTTACATGATATATGACCAAAAGGTGCCCGCACAGATATAGACGAGATCTGACAGTAGTAGAGATCAGTCGACCACCTCATTTGACAGACCTCCCCGTCGGTCGGCCGACCGCAATTCGTCAGTTGGCCGCATTTTGTCAATCAAATGTATTCCTTCTGCCGAACGCAGCCCATCGGGCGATCGCATTCCTTCTGCCGATTGCAACTGCAGTATGTCGGTCGACCGCAGTCTGTCTGCCAACCTTCAGTCCTTCTGTTGACCTTTAGTCCGTCTGTCGACCTTCAATTCGTCGGTTGAACGTATTTCGTCTGTCAAACTCAATGCATCTACCGATCAATAATCGTTGTAATACACCCAATTTGTAACACAAATCTAATATTAAAGTAACACATTAATTGCATTTAAGGCGGTTAACATAATCATTCCCTCCTTTCTATAATTGTACAATTGAGCCCCTATAAATAGGAGGACCTTCTATTTAAAAGGAGACTGAGGCCATCTTGGCTCTCCCCCTCTCTTGTAGCATGCATTTTTAATATATAAGGAACAACCCGACTTTTCCCCGTTGGAGGCAACTGCGACGTCACCTTCTCTTTTCCTCTCTCTTTTCCTACCGCTCTATTCCTTAGGCATGTCATATTCGGATTCAACACAAGGTCTCAAAAACAATTCTGAAATTTCTAATGTGAAAAACATTGGTGCATTGACATCTGAAATTCGCATCAAGTTTTGTGCAAGTACAGATAAACTTTGCAGTGATATCATTCATCAAAACAAATGAAAGATATTAGGAAAAGAAAACGGTCTAAAGCAGAATTCAAACTAATAACAAACTGTGATGATACTGCACGGCTACCATGCATCCGAATTCAACCGTCCAACTATATAAATAACATAATAAAAAATCAATGCACATGCCCGAAATTGAAGCGAAATATTTCGTACCAAAAGAAATTAAACTTTCAAAAAGGAGAATCCGATCGCCGGATTAGCACAATTCAATATAAATTGTAAACTGAAACACCAGATAATTAGAAAACACCTACAGATAGAAAGAAATGTTTGATAATAAAAGGGGCGAGGATCTTACCTGCAATTACTCCCAAAAGATCAAAAGAGAAGCTCTCTCCTGCCTCTAGGGTTATGATTTCAAGGTCCGGGAGGTGAGGAGTCGGCGGAGAGAAGGGCTCTCGACAGATGGATGGTCTTAGAGAAGAAAGACTCGTCCAAAAATTGCTAATAAAAACACCGAAATCAATGCTAGCTTTGAATTCCAGCGAAGCTCGCAGAATCAGTCCGATTTTCCCCTAAAAATAGCTTTTCTTCTCCCACAGCATTGCATCTATGTGGCAGGAACCAGGCCCATGAGACGAGGCGGGAGCCCGGAGGTGGGAAGCCGAACTTATTGAATATATATATATTTGTTAACAAATGACAATGGTCATTTGGAAGTAAAAATTAAGAATACCAACCAAAACTAATGATTATTTGCTTTCATTGAAGTAAAATGTTTGAAAAATGTTTCTAAATATTTTAGGATTAGATCTCATTTTTATTAAGACATTGTTTTGATACTTATTATTGTAACAAATAAAATTAAAAATTAAGATGTAGAATTAATGATTAGTTTAAATGACAATATTAAATTTTCATAAAATAAGCATAATTATTTAACTTATATTATAAACAAATATTCTAAACAATGACAATGATTGAATTTTAGCATTTATGGTGGTATCACTTAAAATTACAACCACCATGATGCATGCATGAATTTATTGAAATGAGGTTTTATTACTATGCCTTTTATTCTAACTAGAATATTGCCCAATTCATGTATGTGTATATTGTTGAGCATTAATGAAAAAAAAAATTATCTTAAAAATTCCATTATAATAAGAGCTTTCATTTCAATTTGAAGTCCTCTCCAAATTTATTTTTTTTAAAGGTATTTATTATTTATATTTTGTTCTAAATAGGCGATAATAGATTCAAAAAATAATAATGACGCGGGTGTTGTTTGAGATCACGTTTATTTTTTATTTTTATTTTAGTGTTATTGTGGTATTATTGTGGTGTTATTGCAGTATTATTGAGATGTTATTGTGATGTTATTGTGGTATTATTGTGGTGTTATACATATGTTATTGCAGTATTATTGAGATGTTATTGTGGTGTTATTATTGTATTTTTCAAATGTTATTGATATGTTATTGTGGTATTATTTTAGTGGTATTGTGACATCTTTATGATTGTATTTGATTAGTGTTATTGGAGTATTATTATTGTGTTATTTCAGTGTTATTATGTTGTTAATGTGGTATTATTGTGGTATTATTGTGGTGTTATTATGACGTTATTGTGGTATTATTGTGATGTTATTTAGTAGCATTATGGCGGCTCTGTGGTGGTATTTGACAAGTGTTATTGGAGTGTTATTATGATGTTATTTATGTATTATTGTAGTGTTATTTATGCGTTATTGAGATGTTATTGTGGTGTTATTACAATATTTTTTTGGTGTTATTGAGGTGTTATTTGAGTGTTATTGTTACGGTTATGTGGTTGTATTCGACTGGCATTATTGGAGTGTTATTATGGTGTTATTGTGGTATTATTGTGGTGTTATTCAGGTGTTATTACAGTATTATTGAGATGTTATTGTGATGTTATTGTGATATTATTGTGGTGTTATTCATGTGTTATTGCAGTATTATTGAGATGTTATTGTGGTGTTATTATTATATTTTTTTGGTGTTATTGAGGTGTTATTTGAGTGTTATTGTTACGGTTATGTGGTTGTATTCGACTGGCATTATTGGAGTGTTATTATGGTGTTATTGTGGTATTATTGTGGTGTTATTCAGGTGTTATTACAGTATTATTGAGATGTTATTGTGATGTTATTGTGATATTATTGTGGTGTTATTCATGTGTTATTGCAGTATTATTGAAATGTTATTGTGGTGTTATTATTATGTTTTTCAGATGTTATTGATATGTTATTGTGGTATTATTTTAGTGGTGTTGTGACAGCTTTATGGTTGTATTTGACTGGTGTTATTGGAGTATTGTTATTGTGTTATTTCGATATTATTGTGATATTATTCAGGTGTTATTAAGGCATTATTGAGGTGTTATTATGGTATTATTATGGTGTTGTTGCGATGTTTTATGGTGTTATTCAGGTGTTATTGTAGTGTTATATTGGTGTTATTGTGGTGTTATTTGACACCATAATAACACCACAATACCACCAAAAAAACACATCTTACCCACCTTAATAAGACCATAATCCCACCTCAACAAAATTGAAACATTATGTATCAAACAATACGACATCATTTAGTCTTTAATGCTCTATATGGTTTCTCTGTTGTGTATGGATTTGCTTAAAAACACTTCAATTTTTTTCACATCCAGAGGAGGAAGAAGTTTGACTAAGAATCCTTACAAGTACATTTTATAGATTTGGAGCACTTGAGCATAACATCTTTCACCATTCATCTTGATGAAAAAAAATTAATTTAATAGAGATACAACTCAAATACATGTATAAATGAAATACTAATAAAATATAAGATATGAACTTACAAGGTTGCATTTCCTTTAACATTGTCAGAGCTATTGGATTTCCAAAATTTTTTAAATTATCACAAAAAAGTCTGATCTCATTCATCCCCAATGTAGGCTTTGGGCATATATCTTTATTTCCAATTATTTCAATAAAATCTTGCATAATCTCAAGCTTATTACAATAATTTTCTTTATCATATTTGAAATGAGCGTTCAAGAAATAAGCTAATGCATGAATGTCTTATCGAAGTTGATTATCTCATCTATTCTTAATGATACTAATATATAGTTTTTATAACATTTATAGTCCTTATTGTCTTTCCTACTCGATACATATCATCATATAAATATTCAAGTGATGGTTTTTCATCAGAGTCAACAGCACAAAGTAATCTACAATTATTTAAAAAATAGATTACAGAATGATTATATGATAATATTATTAGTAAATGATAAGAAAAATAGTTACATAAATGAAAATACTAACCTGATTAAGGGTCTTGATAATTTTGACATTAGAAAACAATCATTCCAGAACTTGGAGTCTAAAAGGACAGAAGCAGCTTACTTTCCTTTTATTGTTTTATACAACATTGAATATATGTAATATTTGCTTATGATGAAGGCCTACAAATCATGTTTATGCTCATAGATACACTTCAAAATAATAAAAGTAGTAGCAAATCAGGTTGCTCCAGGAAGAACTTTCTCTTTACATCGCAGTCTTTTCTGCCAAGCCAATATGAAACACATGATTATAAATAAAAATTGTTACTTTTGAAGCATTTTTTGCAAGCCCAGTGACATGTGACATGCTATCATAATGTTGTTGCTACTTTCGTAACATCGAAAGCATTAATTGATTTTATAAATGTGATCCTACATGGAAAAAATATTAGAAAATTAATCAAGGCTCTAGTTCTATTGTTTGTCCGCTCATCGGTCATTAAGGTACATGTTGTATCTTTCCAAAACTATTTATAAAAATCAACAAACAACATATACTTTTCTTTGCAATCTCTTAATAAGTTTACTCTTATTCTATATTAAGAAGGGAGTTCGTATCCATACTCAATAACTGTGATTGCGTCAATAGCTTTTTGCACAAAAGGTGAATTCAATGCATTTGTTGGTATGTGTTTCAATTTATTTTTCTCTCTTTTTATTTTAAAAGGAGTCGTCAGTTTGTCAATCATCGTATACTTCCCTTATTCAAATAAATCTCCCTCCCGAATCATATTAGTGAGAGGAGATGAACCCAATAAGAAGAGACATCGATAAAGAGACAAATAAGAGAAAAAGTAAAACGTGGAATAATCCTCGCAATGATAGGTCAAGAGTGTTCGCCCAAACAAGATCGAGCAAAGACACCTTAAACCAATATCCATGAAAGGAGTATCTACGTAGACTACTCATAACCAGAGAATCAGATGTATGTACCTGTTATGGGGTCAAGAGTGCTCTCAGAGGAACGTGTTACTACTGGTTAATTACATCATGAAGGATATCCAAGAATACTCTCGATAAAAAAAGTTTCGTGTATATTATCATAGACCTGGGGTATAGGCAATTAAAGGAAGGTTATTCCGTGTGATGTATATTATCATAGACCTAGGGTATAGGCAATTAAAGGAAGGTTATTCCGTGTGGTAACAGTCTTGATACTTCTGATGCTTCAAAGCTCACGCTAAGCCATCTGGCAGAGAGTGAGTCTCTCACATCTCAAATGGGTAGTGTCTAATCAGCACACGGGGCCCACAGATTAACCTAAATCATCTTGACTAGAATATCCCAACACGTCAAATTTATAACGGTACATGTGTGTGTGCATAGATAGGTATGACTCCCTGCAAAAAAAATGCCTTAACACACTACCACACATATGCAACATGCAGTCACACCACAAACCCTTAAAGGGGGCTCAACAAAAGGAAGGTAGAGTGATCCTAAAAGGTAGAGGTAACTGGGTCGGGGTACCACAGAGTACCACGGACCCGCCATACACAGCTATTAGGACCCCAAGTTTACCTGGTCGTGAAGGAAGTCGACTGTAGTCGACCCAACCCGTCCTTAGATCCTTGGTCAGCAAGCTGTGAATTGCATCGTCCATGGGAATCTCGGTAGCCCTAAGGTCAAAGGAAGGAAACTCTATCCTATCTACAAGCTAAAGCTCCAAGAGGTGAGACTTATACCTGCCAAAGTGGCGATGATGCCTCAGGAAAGAAAAGAAAGTGGAGGTTCAGCTACAAAGCTGGAAACTCTCCAAACAAAAAAACTTACACCTCGTTTGGGTCGGGTAGCCTTCTAACACCATAGGCGCACTAGACCTATAAAGAGATATGTTGGGTCAGTCGGGTTGGAGAAGCACGGGGACTCCTCCTCAGGATATGCAAATATGAATGCAGTTATTTAGAGAAGTCCTTAAGTATTATGGAGGTCTTATTAGTATATGCAGGAAAGTAAATGTTGCAATTTTTAAATCCTGAATATTTTAATCCTAAATTTTAATTATCTTGAATATTTTATTTAGGATTTTGTAGAAAATTACAATTTTAGGGTCCTTAATGAACCTAGATTATATCGTGAAATCTCAGATAAATCACAGAAAGAAATAAGAAAAACACATGCAAATGCATACATGCAATATGATGCAAAAAACAAAGCAAGCCAAATCTAAGTAACAAAACAATAAAATAGGTCGGCGCCGCTGGGTCGGCAACATATCC